TGGTTACATTATTGAAGTAATGCTAGTGTTGAGATACAATCGATCTTATAGAATAAAAATATGACTGTAAACAAGTGTACACATATTTTAATTATCTTGAATCCGAATGAAATTTGAGAATAACTCTGACATTAAATTGGCTTGAATGAGGAGTAACAGAGAAAAATACAGTTTATAAATTTAAGTACAATTATCATTTATAGAGAAGAAATTGTTATCAGTTATATGTATTAATCATATTTTTGCACATTTCTAATATATGTAATATTTAATATGAAATTTCGTAGAATTTAGAAATGTTCAGCACTTTTACATTTCTGAAATCGTAATATCCTTTTTGTGTTGTAGGTGCTGAAGGTGGCCATTCTGGCGGAGAAGTACGCGGTGGATTACACTTGGTACGTGGACGTGATACTGAATCTGATCCGTATCTCCGGGGATTACGTCAGCGAGGAGGTGGGTGTGGTCTTGTCGTTAGCATGCTGGACAACTTCAAATGAGAAAAAAAAAACTGTTGAGCATTCAGTGTTAAAATAAAAAATTAAACCATGCTTACTACATGTATATACTGTATTAATGATTCTAGACATTTTTAAATTGTAAATAACATGTATAAATTATGTATAGGTGTGGTACCGAGTCATACAGATTGTGATAAATAGGGATGATGTACAAGGGTATGCTGCAAAGACTGTGTTCGAGGTAGGTCATTAGGGTATTAGCCCTCTGAAGTTCCACATTCATGTTCATGAATATAATAACTTATTCTATCTGTAAACAGAATTATTGATGTTTTGTTTCCTTTTCAGGCACTGCAGGCCCCAGCTTGTCATGAGAATATGGTCAAAGTAGGAGGATACATACTAGGGGAGTTTGGAAATCTTATTGCAGGGGATCCTAGATCTAGGTCAGTTAACATACTTTTATGGTAGTTTATTTTCCAAGGTACGCATTTCTATGTGGCATCTAAATGGGTATATCCTAAGATAGCAATTTTATATTATTTGTCGTGAAAATAGATTTTGAAGTGTCTTTGTCAAGAAGTTGAGACTTGTTACATTCTAAGTACCACCTAAGTGGTCAGTTTTCTAGTTTTACTTTCTCTTTTGACAGTCCACTTGTCCAGTTCCAGCTGTTACATTCTAAGTACCACCTGTGTGGCCCCGCCACCCGCGGATTACTCCTGTCTACATACATCAAGTTTGTCAACCTGTTTCCTGAGATTAAATCAACCATTCAAGATGTAAGATTTCTTCAAGAATTTGTCCATTTCATCTTTAAATGAAGTCATTATCCAAGATTTTAAAAGGCTTGAATTAAATCAAAATATGATCATAAAATAATTATACTTATTTGTCATTTAAATAATGCCTATTTGCATTTTGTTTTCATTTCAGGTTTTAAAAAGTGACAATAATCTTCGTAATTCAGATGTTGAATTACAACAGAGAAGTGTGGAGTATCTACAGTTAAGCACGGTCGCATCAACTGATGTTTTGGTAAATATTTATCTCTGAGTGTCAGTCATAGTTACGTTTCATTGAACATGTAGAAGATATAGTAATGCAATTTTCAAGCACTATAGAGTATAAAAATTGTTCATGTAAAACAGCATGTTCATGTACATTGTCCTGTACAATACCATCCATAAATTGTCAGAAACATCATGCTTCAATTGCTGATGATTATTGTAGGCAACAGTTTTGGAAGAAATGCCACCCTTCCCAGAGAGAGAATCATCAATTTTAGCTAAATTGAAAAAGAAGAAACCAACGGTGACAGAACAAACAGAGAACAAGGAACCAAAACAACCAATGCCACAAGCTCAGATGAGCAACAGTGTCAACACCCACGCCACCCCCACACCCCCTCCTGTGAGTTACTCTTATTGTTTATTATAACACCTACGCCACCCTCACACCCACTTCCCCTCCTGTGAGTTACTATTACTGTCATGTATGTATTCATAAATTAGTGTTTTCACTGGGAATTGAGTGGTTCGCATAAATATGAATTTGCGTTACACATGTCTACACAATGCATTGTATTTTTTAATGATTTATTAACTGCATCCATGAATTATCACATTGTTGACTGCACCAAAACCAATAATGTGCGGAAATTACTTCAGAGTCATACCTACATAGTAGTTTAAGGGTTGAATGACACATGTTAAAATTTAATCACATCTTGTTACATGATTTCTTCTTTCATTAATTACATATACATATTAAATTTTACTTAATTTAAAATTTAAATATTAAATTTTAATTTTGTCTTCTAATTTCTCTGTTTCCTATGTAATTGTATTGATTCTGTTTGTTTCTTGAGGATAGACATCACATCACAGATGTACCTTACATATCAGCACACACACACATACATGTACCTATTCTTCTTCAAGTGAATGTTTTGAACATATGTTTTTCTTTCAAGTAATAGAAATTAGGGGATGAAAACTAACATTTGACTGTAATATATTGAAAACATGAATTTTCTAATTCTCATGCTATGTCTGTATTTTTATTTTACAGCTATCTACAGTGTCCAATCCCAGCATGGCCTCAGACGACCTACTCGGGCTGAATTCCCCTGCCCCCACTCAGACCGGCCCCTCAGCGGGAAGTTTCCTGGTGGACGTTTTCGACACGGTGGGGTCAGGGCCATCTACCAATGGAGTGGATGAGAATGGTCTGACAGTTGGAGCTGAAGAAAGCTTTAAAAAGTAAGTCATTAGAGGTTTACAGGGAAGTACGTGTGAAAGTTATCAATGAGTTTGTGTGTAAAAGAAGATTTATATCTGGACTGTTGAAGTCACAATGGCGTAATCATCTTTAGGTGTTGTTAAACTTTGAATCAATTTTTTTGGTGTAATTTTTAGTCCAGACTTTTATTTTTGAATGAATCATAATTCTTTAATTCTCTACTGTGCTAAAATTGCCTTTCTCAAAATGATATGAAATTAAAATGTCATGTGACTAATTCATTTACATCTACAAATTTAATTTTACAGTGTTCTCCTTTCAACTTAAATGATATAACAAAGGAAAGCTAACTTAATGCTTGCTGTTTTTTTTCCAGGTTTATTTGTAAAAATAATGGAGTATTATTTGAAAACGACCTTCTACAAATTGGAGTGAAGTCAGAATACCGCCAGAACCTTGGGAGGCTAGGGATATTCTACGGCAACAAAACCTCGTTCCAGTTCAGTGGGTTCAGTGTAGACACACAATGTCCAGGAGAACTCGGATCTCATATCCTTTACATACACTTATTTACAGCGATCATTGGGTTACTGAACAGTAATAACGAGCTCTCATTCAGATGTACATGTAAATTAATTTTTTAAGTAAAGTACAGGTAAATAAATAATTTTTGTGAGTTTTTTGTTATACATGTATTCATGAAAACATTGGAATCAAAATTTTCCTTGTGAAAATCTTTTAAGATTACTATCTGCTGTAAAATCAAGAAAATGAACTAAGTAATGGAGTTTTTCACAAATTTTAATGAACTATAGTGCCATTACTCTTGTCTTTAAAATCCAGGGAAGATAAAAGATTCTTGTAGAAAACTAATTAAGTAGTCGACCTTAACAGAGGTTTACAGATCACATGTACACAAAAGCCTGTAGATACCACGATAGACAGCGGAGCTCAAGTCCAACAGGTTATCAATATTGAGTGTATCACTGAGTTTGCCGAGGCTCCCATTCTAGCTATCTCTTTCACGTAAGTAAACGGACACTTTCTCAGAACAGACGCTGTGTATGTGTAAATTGTTGTACATATTAGAATCTGAAGCAGGTTATAGGAAACCTGCACTAGTTGAAAAATAGCTGTTTAGAGCTAATGTTTCTTTTTGACTTACCCAACTTCAAATAGAAATGATCTTATCTTATTTAAACTTTATATTTTTAGGTGTAATGGTAACTCTCAGAGATTGAAACTAAAGCTTCCAGTAATGTGTAGCAAATTTTCGGAACCAGTTGAAATGGATTCTGGCACATTTTTCTCCAGATGGAAGGCCCTTTCACAGTAGGTTGAACATCAAATAAATATAAGACTCTGTCATTGGACTGCATTTGTTTTTTCTTCTCATGAAGTTGCCATTGTTGAACATTTAAGATGATGTGCTTCTCTTTGTAGGCCTAATCAAGAATGTCAGAAAGTTTTTAAGGCCAAATTTCCAATAGACACTGAACAGAACAAGACAAAAGTAAGCAAACTGTGCTTGTTGTTTCAGTCATTTTCAAGAGAACATTCATCTATCACACTGTTTGCAAATAATAATTTTGGATTTATTTTTAGAATAATTGCACATCAAATGTTTACCGGGTAACTCTGATTGACATGATTTATAATTTAGATTTTGGGATTTGGAGTGAGTGTCTTGGAAGGAATCGACCCTAACCCAGAAAACTATGTAGCTGCTGGTATTATTCACGCCAGGTCAGCCCAGATTGGCTGTCTCATCCGATTAGAACCAAATAAAGCTGCCCAGGTATGGGAGCATTAGCTCAGTAAGTCCCTAACTTTCTTCTTAGAATCAATTCTTTATGTTATATGGGTCCTTAAAAGTCTGTTCAATATTTATACTTAATAAATATTCTGATAATGCTAAATCAAGTTTTGATTAGAGTTTGCCCCAAAATGCAAGCATTTTGTTGTTCACTTATTTAATTTTTGATTCAATGGGTTTTGTTCCTTTCTACAGATGTATAGATTAACAATACGTGCCAGCAAGCCGCCAGTACCAAATATCCTAGCCGATTTATTGGAACATCAATTCTAGTGCGCACTCAAGAGAGCAGAACGTGATAGACAGTGGATTGTATAAAGGGAGATAATCTGTACAGAAGAGAGAGAAGACCGACATGACTAGACCGTTGTAATTAGCTTGTGTCCCGTGTTTGATACTGTGCTAGAGTAGAGATAATAATAAGGATCTTCTTTCTCGTGATGTCTTGTGTAAAGTTTGTATGATCAGGAAAAAGTATCATGGGTTGTGTGTTTTAACTTTTAAATTCCTAAATTAATACATTCAAAGCATTAAATGTCAGCTTTAGGGGGAAAAAAATTTTGCAATTGTAAATGTCTTATGTTTGTAATATATGTATATTTTTTTGATCTTTACAAATTCCCATAGACTCTCAACATAAGTTTAGTTCATGTAATGCATTACATATTGCTTGTTGTTGATTGTTTTGGGCATTGGATCCTAGGATGTGATAAAATGTCGTGGGTCTACCACGTTAACTGTTGATCACTGTCATAATATAGCATAAACTATATAGGGGGGAGAGTAGCCATGGAAAATGCAGCAAAGTATAAAAGGTGGATACTAGTTAAACAAAGTGCTTCAATTTTTATAGATAACTATTGCCATTATCACAATGTCCAAGGTATTATACATTCCATTTAACATGCAGATATTTACCTAAATTATTAAGGAAACCTCTTTTTAGGAGATATTTGTGTGAAGAGTATATGTTTAAAACACTTACGGTGCATTCTGCTATGATGAGCTATGTTTATGAGTTCTCCATGTAGTTTAGTACAGTTTGTCAAAGGTTTATGAATATTCAGAAGTTTGGATATGGAGTATGAGCATGTTCATGTACATGTGTGTGTTGCTGGTTTTTACAATTAAAAGTTTGACTCTCTTTTTATGTAAACAATTTAGAAATGACAAGTTCTGAAAGAAAAGCATAATGATTGTTGAAGAGTTATCTTTATTAAGAATAAATTCAAACCAAGTAAATGTTATTTTTCAGAAACATAATTCCTTTTTTATAGTTGCAGTTTTCTAGATTTTCTGAAGAATTTAAGCAAAAATGTACAATGTATTTCCCATGTATGATAATGAATACTCAGTGTATGAATGGTAAATTTCACAATCCATAACCAACAATCATTAATGAGTAAGTAATTAGTACATGATTATTGTAGGATATTTGTTGTTGGAATTGTAATTGAAGGCTTTTTCATGGTGCATTGATTATCATAGTTAATGAAAGAAGAGGAAACCACGTGTACATACATACATGTAAATATCCACATTAAAACCCTTTATATTTAGAAAACATTATAAAAGGGTGCATTTAATGGATAATAAAAGGAAGCATACAAATATCATAAGTAAAGATAGAACTGGATGCCAGTGACAAGAAATCAAGACCATTGGATAAAATTGCATAATTATTAAAACTTTTGATATACTGTAAAAGTTCTTTTTTCCATGTGGTATTAATTTACACTATTTACACGGTCACAAATTTTCTGCAGAAGCTTGTCCAGGCGTTCTTAATATAAATGTAAGACATATATTGACAATCTAGGAAATCCGCGTAATTTTCTACACACGGATCAAGCAGAAATTGAGATTCCGCGGAATTATGACCCCATGGAAAAAAGTATGTCTACAGTAATTATATATCCTGATCAAAATATGAATTGATTGTATTTTTAATACAGAATAGTAAAAGGTTATAAAAAGCTGTCAGTTAATCAGATAAAATGAGAGCAAGTTGCATGAATTACATAATGTATATCCAAATGTGATGTTAGGTACCATTACATAGAAGATTGTATACAAAAAAAGTCATGTGCAATAAACAGTAGAATGCTTGTAACTTAAAAGGTATTATATTTCCTGGGAAGAGAATTATCTTCTTCATCAAAGTTGTAAGTGATAGATGCTAGATTTGTATTAAAAATGCAGAAATAAGTTGATCTATTGTTTACGAAGCTCTGCATAGAGTAAGTTGTGTTCGGAATCTGAGTTGGTCACATGATTTTCAAGTCATGTGACAGATGTGATTGAAAGTTGACAGCTTTTGACTTATTGATGAAATAGTTGATGGGGAATTATTTATCAATAGACCTCCCTATGTGTATATTGTATATTTATATATATCATGATGATAATATCAACATCATAATAAATAATTCATTAAAGTGGTTAAATAAAAATTTCATGTGTTTTACTGAGAGATGACAGAATCAGAATTTTAAAATGTGTTAACATTAGAGAAATTACAAGAATATTGCAGATCTGTGTAACTAATTGCCCCATTTTACACACAAAGTGTTATGATCAACTCAAATACACAGTTCTCTGGGGAAGAAATTCGTCTCGCAGTATAAAGTTACACCTGTATTAAAACTAGGGAAAAAAGTTTTACAGGATAATGTGTTTTAGTAAGAAGGTCTCGATTAGGTATCCGACCCATATTAGGATCAAAATTTCTAACCTTAAATATTAATTTTTTGTAAATTATCCTAATATTATTTTAAAGCATATTAGAGTAGAAAGGGATTTACCAAGAGAAATTTTCAAAAAATTATTACCTAAGCAGAAATTAATTATTGAAGTCTATGGAAGAAAGGAAGTTTTTTTTTTAAATAAATACTTCAAATATCAAAAAATGCTTTGGTGGAAAGATTTATTTGATCATTGGGAGTAGAAAAACAATTAGAAATAATTTTTTTTTACCAGACAGATTTTTTTAAAATTAATTTTATTGAGTAAAATCAAAGGGAAATAACTCGTCAAGGGCATGAAAAGGTCATAAATTAGGACATGTCCCAATCTTACATTCTTATACTAAAAGATGAAAATTAGTTCTAACTACACTGATTATTCAGCCAATACATATCCATTATACATTCAATTCCATTCAATCTGAGGCTAATATGGATCGGATACCTTAAGGAGGATGGTTAAAGCATTGGCTCATTAGAGAGGATTTAACCCAAGGAGAAGACCTCTAAACAAAGAGGCTAAAGATTGAGAAGGAGAAAGCTTGGACTTATTGTAGAGTGGAACAACTGTCACTCATTTTCCCCTCTCTAGATCTGCATATGTAGAAGAAAGAAACGGATAAGGGAAGAGGTCTAGCGCTACATACAAGGTTTAGTTTTCCGTAACGTCACACAATGTTGTTGAAAATTTTGCACTTCCCTTGAAAACATGAAAAAGGAAATACAAATAGACAAACGGACTAAACGAGATCTGAAAAGTTCACTTGAGCCATCGGATAAAATGGAAAAGGCAAATTTATCTTATTCTGGTTCACTTGAATTTGAATATAAAAAGAGTCAGATTATATTTAAAGCACAATCAGTACCAATCGGAATTTCCAACAATTTATTGGAGGATCTTGTGTACGAAGACTACATAAATGCAGGCACGTAGCATCGTCGATTTTGAAAGGGGGGGGGGTGGCACAGAACTTTTTTTTTACTTACAAAAAAGAAAAAAAAATTGTCCAAAGTCGAAAATCCTATTTCGGGGGGGGGGGGGGGTGGTGGAGAGAGGCAAACTTTTTTCCTTTCAATATCCATTTTGATAGCTTACAATACCAATATTTCCTTCATATTACTTTGCTTTAGTATAAAGTTGGGGGGGGGGGCAACCAGCCTTTTAATGAACTGCCCCCCCCCTCCCCTGTTGCTACGTCCCTGAAATGTTGTCAAAGAGGAACTCTATCCTTAATATATCAATTTCAGAAAACTGAGTGAAGAATCAGAGTGATATTAAAAAAAATATTGATGGCCAAACAATTAAGACAAAAATGGCAACTATTCTTGCGGGTGACAAATTGTATGTACATTATTAGGAGGATAAGTACCCATGTACCCCAGCCCCCGCCCAACACACAAAAACACGAACTTAAAAGATATGGAAAAATTTGTCTTTTCCTTTCCCACGAGCCTTTGCTATAGATCTGATATAACTTACTCTTTTCTACATACATACACATGGGACATTTTGACAATCTGCACCAGGTACCATTGTAAACCACCTTCTAAAACCTTAAATCATAAATTCTGCAATTGTGACATGTTCAAAACCAGGAGTCAAAATACGAGTAAAAAATGGCACAATAAATCACCTTATCGGTATCTACTTTGGAACAAAATAAGAAAATCAATTTTACACTCAAATTGCAAGTATAAGTTGAAAAACCAATCGATGTATTATTTAGATCTGCAGATCTACCTTAGAATGCTAACCCCGGAAGTTTAGTGCACTAAGGCTGGTAGAAAATTGGGGCATTTTGTCATCTTAATTATTGAGAAACAAATTACCCAAAAAATAAATAAAATGAAACAATAAGTAAAATAGAATAATAAATAAATAAATAATAATAAATAATAATAACTTAAAAATGAATAATATAATACAACGTACAAATCTAAGGTTCTCAGCCGATATTAATTAAGAAGGGAAATCAACCATCGTTACTCGACACAAAACAATAGTGGAAGTTGTCAACATTTATTTGGTCAATGAAATTCTTTAGAGCACAATGTCTAATTTCATGATATAGTAAAATTACTGGGGATAGCGAACACTAGTCAAATTCAAAAGTCCATTAAACAATACAATATATGTAACAGAGCAAATAATCAGAGGTGGGATCAGGTTCCATGGAGGAGTGAGCAGTAGTATAAGGCGCCTAGATGGGTGGGTCAACTGAGTGCACTTTTGGGGCTGTGGGGATAGCCCGGGTGAACTCAGTGCAGCTCCTGGGGGGGGATAGGTGGGGGGGGGAGGGGATAGGTGGGTAAATAAGTGCAGCCCCTGGGGGATAGCCGGTTCCATTAGGTACATATAATCCCCCTAAATACGAGGGGGTGTGTTTACACTGTGTTTACATTATACACT